AATGAATTCATTCCTCCGATAAGTGTGCCAAATATTACAACGGTCATAGAAACATTTTTAACCATTAATATTTCATTCAAGAAATAAATAATAATGAGGAGGTGGTATATCATTATATAAGTCTTAGCTATAAATAAATAAATTCAAAACAAGCAATATTCTCAACTAATTTAATTCATATCTTAGGTTAACTCTATACTCACCCTTTTCCTACTAATTATAAATCAAAATTTGTTTGAATACACAAAATAATAATATCAAGATCCTCACACCCAGTCTATCAGTATTCTCAATCTATTCACTGATACCACCGGAACTGTCATCTACGACTAATTCATTTGTTGTATCCACGGGCCGTTAAAATTACTGAACAAATAACAAACATATAACAAACATATATCCCAGTACCAAAGCATTATGGTGTGTTGTTTTAGCTGCGTTTTCTCATCCTTTTCATGTCTCTCTCTCTCTGTACACCGGAGGAGATCAACGACTCGTCTCAGTTATGACAACTCAATTCCATAAATATGTCAATCCACTTATCAAGCATTTCAGCATAAAAAATCGGTGTAAAACACGACTTTTATACTAGCACTAAGTCTACCTGTATACGGGAAAGCAACGACTTGTCTGACGAGAAATCGTTAAAATAACGAACTTATTACTTTTCCCCAAATGCTTTCTTAACATTTAAAGAAACGAACCATTTATAAATGATTATTTTAATTTATTCTATTTGTTATAACACCAACTTTTGCTATATTGATATGTCTTTGGAAATATAAAGAAAATATGTAAACAAATGTTTTAGGGACATGTACATCTTGAAATTAGTAACAACGCACATTATAAAAGACTCATACATATATACACATACATACATACATATATATATATATATATATATATATATATATATATATATATATATATATATATATATATATATATATATATATATATATATATATACAAACACACACAATTATATGTAAATATATATATATATATATATATATATATATATATATATATATATATATATATATATATATATATATATATATATATATATATATATAATATATATATGTATATGTGTGTGTGTGTGTGTGTGTGTGTGTGTGTTGTGTGTGTGTGTGTTGTGTATGTGTGTGTGTGTGTGTGTGCGTGTGTGTGTGCGTGCGTGTGTGTGTGTGTGCGTGTGTGTGCGTGTGCGTGTGCGTGTGTGTGTGTGTGTGTGTGCGTGTGTGCATGCGTATTTAAGCATGCATGCATGTATTGAGAAAGAGTGTCAGAGAGAGGGAGAGAGAGACTTATAAACATCCTCTTGGAGCTTCTCGTTTTCAATGTGTTTCTCCGAAAATGCATACCTTTTCGAGGGATGTATACACAAACACACAAACACACCCATGCACGCTCGCTCCTGTCTTTGATCTGCTGCGCAAATAAAATTCCACGAGCTGTTGTTTATGTTTCTAATGCATCTCGAGGTTCTCTCATTTGCATATAGATAGAAGAAGACATGTGGTGCAGGATTGAGAATTACGCATCATCTCAGTGTCTTGTGGTAGACGTTCCTCACACTGTGGAGGGAAGGCAGGATGGTAGGTCCCTTGGGTGGGGGGTGGGGGGGGTGGGGGGGCACAGATAGACATGGGAGAACCAGGGAAGCGGAGAAGCCGATGTACAGTTCGGTTCTATGTTTTGTCTGCTTGTTGAAGCGGCTATTTTCTTTAAAAACAAATATTATCACAAATTGGATTTATAATTTCCAGATAAGATTGATAAAAACTTAATAATTATCTTGGGGAAAAAATAAGTTNTGTGTGTGTGTTCGTGCGTGCGTGCGTGTGTGACTCTACAAGAATATGCGTACTTAGGTGCAATTATAATATTATTCGCATTATCAATTTCAAAAACTATCCTTTTATATAAATATGAAAATTGGATATCACTTCAATAATTACACGATTATTTTCTGTTTCTTAATCCCTACCATTTTCTTCTCTAAATAATGTTTTTTGCTGTTCCTGTTGTTTCTAGTTGGGTGGTTATACTCCTTTATAATAAAAAAATCTTAATTCATAATTTGATTAACATAATCAAAAAAAATATAATTATCATAATAATTACAATTTATCAACATTAACATAACCACTGTAATTGTTACCATTCTTATCATTATGATATTATAACACATCACATTCATAGTTATAAGAATTATCATTATTATTACTATTATCATTATAATTTGAATTTTTATCATTGATTATTATATTATTATCATTATTATTGTTAACATATTATTTATTATATTATCATCATTATTATTATCATTATTATCATTATTATTATTACATATTATTAACACTTCCGACAAGGAAGTTATGTTTTCGGTCGCATTGGTCTGTTTGTTAGTTAATTGGTTAGCAGGATAACACAAAAAGTTATGAATTTTTTTCTTACACTCCTACCGCAGGTGTGACTTAGCCTGAATTCCATAAATTTGTTGACGATCCGGATACGTTTCCTCTTTTGTTAACAGAATAACTCAAAAGGTTATGAACAGATTTCTATGAAAAAAAAAAAACAGAAATGTGTCTTAACCTAACTTAGATTGCTTTAATTCTGGATCCAGGAAGTTTTGGGATGATTGCGTCATTGCCTCTATTGTCTTGCCTTCGTCAGGGAGGTTATGTTTACGGATGTCAGCTGGATACTTGAGAAAAAAGTTATTGTAGTGCAATTCCTTTAAGTGTGAATATTTTTATTGCATTAGCGATCTTATTGCCTTGGCGGAGGTATGCGCTCTTTGCGTGCTTCTAGCTATTATCATTATTACTGTTATTATCATTATTATCATTATTATTATCATTATCATACCACTTAATTATCATTATCATTAATATTTTTATCATCATTACTATTACTACTACTATTATTAATATCATAATTACATTATTTTAATTGCTATTATTAGTTGTTATGATTATTATCATTATTTATTATTATTATTATTTATCATTTTATCATTATTATTATTCTCTTATTATCATTATTATTATTGATATTGCCATTATTATCATTATTATTATCATTATTATTATTATTATTATTATTATTATTATTATTATTATTCATTATATTATTATTCATTTATCATTATTAATTTATTATCTATTTATTATTATTATTATTTATTATTATCATTATTATTATTATTATATTGATTATTATTATTATTATTATTATTATTATTATTGTTGTTGTTGTTGTTGTGTTTTGTTGTTGTTATCATCTGTTATTATTTCAATTATCATTATTATTATTATCACAGTTATTGTTTCATTATTATCATTGAATTATAATTATTATTACTATCATTATTATTATCATTATTATTTATTATTACTACTACTACTATCATTATTATTATCAACATCATTTTCAAATTGCTATAGTTTTTATTACTATCATTTTCATAACTATTAATATTTTTATTATTGTTATTATCATTATCACCAACATCCTCATCCTCATCCTCATGATTATTATTAACATCATTATCATAATTAACAATATCATTATTATTACAATTCTCATTTTATTTATTTTCTTATTATCACTATCAATAAGGGTCTTACTATTATCATAATTCCTAATATTGTCATTATTTATATTGACATTATTATCACCATCATCATTTTCCTTATTTCAATTATTTTTTTATATCATGATACTTATTATGATTCTATTATCAATGTGAAACCTTTATTGTTAATATTCTTATCTGTATCATTATCATCATCAATTATCATGGTTACAATCACTATCAGTATCTTCATCATCATTATTATTATTAGGATCAATATCATTGTTAACATTACCGTTATCCTTATCATTATTATTGTTATTATTATAACTAGATTATCATTATCATTATTATGTTATTATCATTATTATTAATGTTATTATTAGTACTATTATTATTATCATTATTGATATTATTATTGCCGATTCAAAATCTTTCCTCAGACAGATTATTTTTCCCTGAAACCTCAAAAATCGATGGTTTTTCGTTTATTTATTTATTTATCTATTATTATTTATTTATTAATTTATTTTTACCTTAGGTATGAAGCACCCTCATTATTATCATCATTATTGTTATTCCTTTATTATTATTGTTACTTTATTGTGGCTATTATTATTGTTATAGTTGTTATCTCTATCTGTTATTACTATTACTAATACGTTTAGTACAGCTATTATTATTGTTATTTTCATCATTATTGTTAATATCATTATCATTATCATTTCTATTATTTTCATTATCATTATTGTTATGATAATTACTATTGTTGTTACTATTATCTCTCTCTTATCAATATCAAAATCATTATCATTATCATTGCAATTATTATCATTATTATTATTAGCATTCTTAGCATTTTTATTGTTTGATCATTATTATCATTATCACTGTTTTTATCATCATTATTATAATTATTACTTTTTCATTGTTATTATAATAATTATTTCTATCATCATTATTATTAGTTCTCGATTATTATTGTTATCATTGGGCCAGGTAAAAATACCTCTGGGTGGATTGGAAGGTAGGCATTTATTTTTTTTATTTTATTTTTTTTTTTTTTTTTTTGCGAAGTGACGTAATGAACCTGTTCGTCGACACCACCTCACTCTCAACCCAGTGCTATAAATCACATTGGTAAAATAAAACTGAGGTTTAAATTCAAAATACAAATCTTGTTTACTTATCAAAGCCTCAGTTAGAGGACTGCCTTTCTGATCTCGAGACGATGCAGTGTCACTGGTCATCTTTTAGTGCCATTATCCATGAACCGTATTCGTGTTGACAAATGTGGATGATGTATAAATGAGAACGATTTCGATTATATCTTCGTCAGAAATACATGTATTTCTGACGAAGATATAATCGAATTCATTTTCATTCCTTTCCACAGTCAGTATCCATGTTGCAGCTCCGTGGTTTGCTCAGTGTAGTCATAAATCTATTAGTTTTTGATGGTATTTTTGAGAACGAGGGTTTTAGATTTGTTGTAGATGGGAAGTTAGTGATACATATTTTTGTCGGCACTTTTTTCGGCAAAAAAATACAGGAGGTCAGGTTACTTTAACCAAAGTTTTTTTTTCTGCCGTATCCTTATTGCTAATATCAATATTATTATCTTTATTATTATCATGATCGATATTATTATCATCATTGTTATTAGCATCATTATTACCATCATTATTATCATCATTGTTATTATGATAATCATTACCATCATTATTATCATCATTGTTATTATGATAATCATTACCATCATTATTATCATCATTATCATTATTACTATCATTATCATTCTCATTATATTTTTTTTCATTTACTGTTATCAGCATTCTTAGCGCTACATTTGTTATTATCACTACCATTTTCATTGTTAGCAATAAAATTATTGTCATTATCATCATAGTAGTAGTAGTATAATTAACTATCATGTCATTATTGTTGTCGTTATAATCATTGCTGTTGTTGCTATTGCTGTTTTCTTTATTAATTCCATTATTGTTATTATCAATATGAATTCTACTATTCTTGCTTCTATTATTATTAACTAATATAATTTTTTAAAGAGTATTACTATTATACTAATTATTGTTATTGTTATTATTGTTATTATGATCATCATTGATGTAATTATCCTTATCATTATTGTCATTATTATCATCAGTATTATCATTATCATCATTACTATTATTATCATTATCATCACTATTATTATTATCATTATCATCACTATTATTATCATTAACCACTATTAATTTTCATTATTACTATTGTTATTATTACTATTATTATCATAATGATTCTTTTTATCATCATTATCATCATTATTGTTGTAGTTGTTATTATTATTATCTTTATCATTGTCATTATTAGTATTATTATAATTATGATTGTTATTATTATTGTATTATTATCATGATTATCTTTATTTTTAACATTATCTTTATAATCATGTTTTTTATCGTTATGATTATCATTACTATCATTACCAGTAGTGGTAGTGGTAGTAGTATCATTATAATTAACATTGTTGTCCTGGTTATCATTTTTATCATTATAGCTATAATTATTTTTTTATCATTGTCATTACCATTTATTTTATTACTATCATTATTATTGTGTTTTGCATTAGTATCACAATTATTGTCATTATTATCATTATCCTTATTATCATTGTTATCATTATTACTATTACCATCATTTTCACCTTTATTGTTGTTGTTGTTATTGTTGATCTTTTATTATCATAATCATAACCAGTAGTAGTAGTAATAGTATCAGTAAATTACTCTTAATTGTCAGTTATCCTTGTTACTATAATTCTTATTCTCATTATCATTATCAGCATCATTATCATAAAAATTATCATCACCTTCTTCATCTTCATTATTACTATTGTTATCATTGACATTACCATCATTATTATAATTACCATCATTATCATTATTTTCACTGATACTGTTATTATCATTGACATTATTACTTATGTATCATTATCATCACCATTATCATCGGTATTATTATGATTATCATGAATATTATTGTTATCATTATTATTATCACCATTACCAAGAGTAGCAGCATTTTCAACATCATTCACTTTTATTATCATTACCATCATATTTTTTATTATTATTATTTTCTTTGTGGTATTCCCGTTTGCATCACCTCATACATTGCTATTAACATCATATTAACCGCCATTACTCCTGCAATTTGTATTACCTCTATCCCTATTGTGATATGACTGCTATCACCTTTTTCTCCATCAGGACTATTATCATTCATGTCATAACTCTTGTTATTTTATTGCTCTACTGTTATTTTATTTCATTCCTTATGTTTCATGTTTACTCTTACTGTTTCTATTCTTATTCAGCAAAGGCAAAAAAGGAGAAAAAAGCTAACTGGCAACCCAGTAGAGGGAAGGACAGTGCCAGTATATAAGATCTGCGAGTCAAAGTGCAAACCAGTCTCTCCAACCGCTGGGAATAGAGACAGTATGAGGACCTTAGTAAGTAATTTCTAAAGGGATACTTTTATGTCTCATTTAGGAATAACATGTGAGAATGAGCCAAGCATTTTAAGATGACTAGGAGATCTTAGTTGTGACGACAAACCGTCGACACAATGTATTTTCTGCTTATTAATGAAAATTATCCAACCAGGCGATATGATAATAAATGTATCTATTTTGTTTTTGAGCCAAGTTTTGGTTTATTAATATCGAAGAACCAGTCAGTTTAGATTTCACATAACAGAGAAATGTGATGTTTTGATGTCAGGAAGAAAAATCTGATATATATCTTTTCATTTTCATTAAGACCATTTCTATTTTGAAATTTTCTTTATTTGTCATGTTGTATGTATATGTTAGTGGTTAAAATGTTGATCTTTTCAGA